GACTGTTCTTATATAATGTTCAGTTGAATAGTAAATGTTCCCAAAGTAGCAGTTACATGTATCTCCAATACAGTGTGCTCAAGACATAGATAATTATATATGCTTTGCTGCTGACTTTGAGTTAATTTTTATATTATTGTTATGATGTTACTTTATGGTTATTTTCCACGGATCATAACAAAGTATTGAAAGTATATTTCAAGTGTTTGGTCAAGGGTCTCCTTATTAAAAACCAGTGTTAGGTGATCAAAATTTGTGGATGTCCTAATTTATATAAATCAAATTCATTTAAAATATACCCAGCTAAAAGAGCTCCATGCAGTTTTTAAGGCCACATAATATCGAATATGCATTAACTTTTATTTATTTATAGTTTTGTATCATTACTGTATTTTGAACTTTACCATAAATGGCTTGTGTACAACTGATGTTCATTCATTACTATGTAATGCATAGAATTTCGTTTTTACCACAGGATTTGTAGATTATAGACAGGACAGTAATCGCTTGAACTGCTTGTTTTCTTCTTGTCCATCAGAATTATATGTTGTAAAAGTTAGTCTATTAAATTGCTGAATCAGATTTCTCCTGTGACATGCCCATGATCAAAATTAAGCCCCCATCCAGACATGCACTTTTTGAAAATTATATTAGGCTGGCTATATTGGTCTTTTTATTGGAGAAATAGATTACATGACAGTGTAAAAAAACAATTACTAGATGTATCTTGATAACTGATGCTACCCTAAATTTGTATAATTAGTTTGCATTGTAATTTCTGTCCATATTCATCATTCTCTTTGGTAATTTGTTCCTAAATTTATCATTGTAAAAACATTACTTTTTTGCACGAGATTTTCAAATTGTTTTATAAATAAGGTTTTTTTTAATTTCTTATATTAATCTCTAATCCTAAGGATTTGTTACAAAATGTTAGGATGAGCAACATTTCCACATCTATCTATATTATTTGCATCAGTGCCTCAGATGCTGTTAGTATCTCACATCTACATAAAAAAAAATGTTGCAAGCTTTGTCAATGTATACATAATGTGCTTCCTGTCAGACTGCTATGTACACATAATTCCTGTTGGCCTGCTATGTACACATAATATGCTTCCTGTCTGCCTGCTATGTACACAAAATATGCTTCCTGTCTGCCTGCTATGTACACATAATTCCTGTTGGCCTGCTATGTACACATAATATGCTTCCTGTCAGCCTGCTATGTACACATAATATGCTTCCTGTCAGCCTGCTATGTACACATAATATGCTTCCTGTCAGCCTGCTATGTACACATAATATGCTTCCTGTTGGCCAGCTATGTACACATAAAATGCTTCCTGTCAGCCTGCTATGTACACATAATATGCTTCCTGTCAGCCTGCTATGTACACATAATATGCTTCCTGTCGGCCTGCTATGTACACATAATGTGCTTCCTGTCTGCCTGCTATGTACACATAATATGCTTCCTGTCTGCCTGCTATGTACACATAATATGCTTCCTGTCAGCCTGCTATGTACACATAATATGCTTCCTGTCGGACTGCTATGTACACATAATATGCTTCCTGTTGGCCTGCTATGTATACATAATGTGCTTCCTGTCTGCCTGCTATGTACACATAATATGCTTCCTGTCGGACTGCTATGTACACATAATATGCTTCCTGTCGGCCTGCTATGTATACATAATGTGCTTCCTGTCTGCCTGATATGTCAGCCTGTCGGCCTGATATTAGCTTTTGTGGAAAACAGTTTATGAATATAGTTAAATGAAACTTGATTTCTCTACGTGGTAAATAGCACAGGTTCTAAAATGGGTCAACCATGCTGCTCTTACTAAAAAAATTTAAATGTTTAAACTATTTTAAAAAATGCTCAGCCCATGTGAGTAATCTCAGGTCAGTTAGGCCTTCTTTAGTTCAAAATCTGATGGCGTGTAAAACTTGTCATAAAGTGATTAAGGTTCCAAAGTTACATATAACTGGAAAATTACAATTGCAATCTTATTTCTTTGACAGTCTTTGTCTCTTTGTTAAATTATCAACAAATCCTATATTGTTATCTGTGTTATTGTTTTCTTTATTATGTTACACCTTGTCTGAATATTGTCTCATATTTATTTTATTTATTCTGAAATATTTATGTATTCAATCTGCATTTAGCAAGATGTCAGTATTATTACAGTACATGTAATGGTAGAGTTGACTCCACCATATTTTTTTTTGTTTTTACTTGTTATAGAAAAAACATTTTTGTTTCTTTAAGAAATGTAAAAGTATTATAAAAAACAAAGAAATGAGCTCAATAAATTTTCTAAACTTTTATGCTTATAAAAGTTTGTGATTTATATTTTATTTTTCAAACAGATGAAGGCAGCATGCTTCATTAAAAAATTAATTGTGAACGAAGATTTTAATTACCAGACCAGCTATAATGTTCCTTTTCAAGCTTTTGTGCAGAAAAAAAACCAGAGCTAAAAATGTTACTGTTTTTTTGTAGCCTTAGAATTTAACTGCAGCCAAGTACAAAGACATTATGTTTGAAAATCCTTTGAAATTCCTATGAGCCTATAAGTATTTTTAAAAATAAATTTAACATGGCTTGGTTCCAGTCAAATCTATTGGAAGATATTTTCCTTTAGAATAATATACTTTAACTTTGGAGAAAATTTGCATAAAATGTTCAAAGTCCAAGTGATAAAAACTCTTTCTTGATGTGTTTTTATTTAATTTCATCAGCTGCTCTTCATTTTGATATATAATTAGTACTATCATTAAATTTTAAATTGTCTTTTTCAAAATTATTCATTTAAAGGTAATCTTACTGAGAAAACCTTAAATTTGCTAAAAGATGCATGTTTAAAATATATTCATAGATAATGACAATATTAGTGTCGGTGTTTCTTATATATTCCGGAACAACATTTATGTAATGTGCACCCTTAAATATCTAAATATATTACCTACAAGTAATGATGGGAAATAGAGGCATGTTTTAGAATTCCAACCTTGGATATATTTTAGGGATATATTTAGTAGAATATTGATTGTAAAAGAATTCAGAACTTAGGAAATTCCAGTGCACACCAATAGCAAATTTAGTTGTAAAAATAATCTGCCTTGTGCACTCTTCTGTTTGAAGATACATTTTGCATGAAGTCAAATCCAACCACAACTGCATAGACCCAGATCTCCCATTGCTTAATGCATTAGAGATCTGGGTCTCTGCAGTTTGTTAAGAGTACTCAGCAACACAAATCTTGGTCTGCCTACACATGATGTGACTACAGATCAACACCAGTGTTTTTTGCGCTTGGAATTCACTTACAAGCAAGTGTATTTTATGACATTATCTCAGCTCAGTTTAACTTACATGCCACAAAGAGAAAAACATTCAAATTTAATTAAAGAATAGGAATTAAAGAACATTTTTTTGTCATTTTCTTTTTTTTTTTTGTCTTTTAAGGTTTAATGATTATTTTGGGAACAAACCATTCTAGATAGAACAATTTATTTTCAAACAAGTTTCAGAGTATTTGTTCAATAAAACATGTAACTAACCAGAGTTTTTGTTACTTTATGCACATAGATATAGATATTAGGTATTGTACTGCATTTAGAGCTTACTTGTTACCATATTTGGTGAATAATGTGTTAATTTATATGTATTCGATTTTAATTATATTAAGTTGTGAATGTGTGAGCCATGTGATTTAGACTGTTATTTTTCCAGAGTTTGACATATATACTCTACATTCCTGCAATAGATGAATAGATATATGAAATAAAATAATTTATAAACAGTTTTTACTTCTTCTAATTTCCATCCATTATTTATTTGCTACCCATTTTGATCCATTTGTTTGTGACTTATAGTAATTTAATGATCAATAAATAAAAAATTAACACAAGAAAGCCTTTTTTAGCAGCAGTATAGGTCAACCTTTTACAGTTAAATTTAAATCAAGATGTGCTTGTAATAAGTGATCTGACAGGTATTGGTAAAGATTAATGTTCTACCAACCTCTGTAATTCCTGATCCACATATTTTAAGTACAGTAATGTATTTGAATGTCTGTAAGCATAGTATTTCAAGTTAGGGAGAATGATCATTAGAAACAATGTCTCAAATAAAGTTTTTAACTTTCATAATGTAAAAGCTGTAATTTTATTGGGAATTAAAAGGTGAGCATCACCTGACCTTGTATTGGTGTCTCTCAGATCTCCTTTGTTCTATGATTTAGGTCTTACATTGCTTGGTTGTTGAGTCAGTCAAGTAAAATAGCCATGTCAATGGCTGTAAAAGCAAATTATGGGTAATGTTTTAAAAACTACATATTGGACATGAGTTTTCTGCAAAAATGCAGAAATGTGCAAAATTGTTATTTGATATTTAATTGCTATAACTTCAAAATTGCTCATAGTTTCCTTTTTTCATCTTTATCTCTACTGGTCACAGACCAGAGGATATTAAGATCTGTCATCTGACATCTGTCTGTCCATTAGCACAGATTATTTATCATTACACTTGCCCTAAATTATTTGTTGGATTAGCATGAAACTTTACACAACACAGTCATCTCATGGTCTGGTTGGTCCTATATCAGACATCAAATATGGCCATCACTGTGACCATCTTGTATGTTACTATTCCTCCTGAATGGATGGTTATATCAACATGGGGGTCTCACAGAAATATGTCTTATGATGTTTAGTTAGTCCTAAATGAAAATGGCGTCAATCTGAAGTCCACCATGGCAGCTATCTTTAAAAACCTATCACTATTTCTGAATGGGAAAGTTGTATCAACATGAGATTTTCTCCTTGTAATGTCTAGATGATCCTAGATGAAAATGGTTTCGCTTGGACATTCAATATAGTGACCAATGTGACCCTCTTGTTAATCTTATTAATGCTACTACTTCAAAATGGACGGTCATATTAACATGGGCATTTCATTAAAAGACTTTTTATGTCAAGTTTTGAACCAATCCTGTGGCCTAGTGGTTAGAGTATCCACCTAAAATGTGGAAGGTCATGGGTTAGAACCCTGACCGAATCATAAAAAGACTTATATAAAAAATGGTACTAACAGCTGCCTCACAAGGTGCTCAGCATTAAGAGGTTAGTGTTAGGACTGGTCAGCCTGGAGTCAGAATAATGTTTCTGGGTTCATGCTACATGTCTCTGGAATGATGCCCCAGTCATAGACATTACTATAAACTGCCACACTACATACGTCATAGTGATATGACTGAAAAATTGTTAAAGCTACATTAATAATTCAAATCACACACACATGATGTCAAGTTAATTCCAAAGAAAATGATGCCATTCTGACATCAAATAATTCTTCCATAGCAGCCATCTGGAGAAAGAAAAAAAATCATATACCCTTCCTAAATCAGAGGTAGTTAAAAATGGCACTAGTTGAAGTGATGGTAATGCATGAATTATGTTAGGCCATACTTGAAATTTTCATGGCCTCATGATTAGGTAAGCTAATGATGTCATAGAAGACATAGAAGAAATAACCAGAGCTACTTTCATGACTTAACATGGCAAATCCCATGTTTTTCCCATAATCACCCATAATACAGACACCTCCTGTCCCATAATCACCCATAATACAGACACCTCCTGTCCCATAATCACACATAATACAGACACCTCCTGTAACATAATCACCCATAATACAGACACTTCCTGTCCCATAATCACCCATAATACAGACACCTCCTGTCCCATAATCACCCATAATATAGACACTTCCTGTCCCATAATCACCCATAATACAGACACCTCCTGTCCCATAATCACCCATAATATAGATACTTCCTGTCCCATAATCACCCATAATACAGACACCTCCTGTCCCATAATCACCCATAATACAGATACCTCCTGTCCATTAATCACCCATAATACACACTTCCTGTCCCATAATCACCCATAATACAGACACCTCCTGTCCCATAATCACCCATAATACAGACACCTCCTGTCACAAAATCACCCATAATACAGATACCTCCTGTCCATTAATCACACTAAATACAGACACCTCCTGTCACATAATTACCCATAATACAGACACCTCCTGTCACATAATCACCCATAATACAGACACCTCCTGTCCCATCACCAGACTATGATCCTGTTGTTGTTCTTATTGACATTTTTTAGCACACAATAGGCTAAACATGGTGGCTAGTATTAATGGTGGAGAAAGAAACCAACCCACCAGAAGCTACTGGCAAGCTTTCTCACATATTCACATTCGCTGAATCTTAGACTTGAACCCACACAGACTGAGGTGAGATGGCAGTGCTCCGTAACAGAAATTACTTTAGACCACTCGACCACTCAGGGCCCTACTATGATCCTGTACATGTAACCTAACTTCCGATAAACAGATTATGTGTCCTTGTGCAATGACTGCAGTTTTTAAAGTCTGTGCTAACAATATTACAAAATGTCACTGTAACTGTAATTTTTCTATATATTTAATTTTAACCCATTCCAGCAGCTACAGGGCAAGGCCCAAAAACTATAACTCTCTCATAAATCACAAATGGTTATCGCTGGAAAGTGGCCAATACACAAGTAATTTGCTGAGACCAGGCAGCAAGTGTGCTTACCCTGTCATTAATATATTTTCTGCTTCCTATTTTGCTAAAATGCCATTATTATTTTAATTGATCTTTCTGCCCCATTCCAAACTTTTTATTGAATGTTCAAACACTCAATAATACCATAGCATTTTTACATCATAAGCAGGACAAAGAGTTGTCTCCAGAAATTATCGAATTTGCTAAAAAAAAATTTTACTACCCCACCCCACCCCCTGACACATTTCATCATAAAAACTCTGACCCCCTCATATATATTTTGCAAAACTTTGATCCACCCATAAAAAAATTTAAAAATATAATTTGTTTGAAATCACTCTACATACAAAAACCCATAACAATACAACCCCAGTTTTGAATTATTTAATATTAAAAAAAAATGATCCAACCAAGCTTAGTCCCCTGGACACCAATAAGAAACAAAATACTGGAAGAAAAAAACATAAATCCAAAGAATAAAGTTGTAGACATCTTGTTTTATGAATTTATTTCTCAATGTTCTCTTGCTCACATGGTGATACTGTGATGCTACATAGTTTACATATTCTGTACTAGATGGCTCCAGTGTTGTTTTTCTGATGTCACATTTACCTACTTTTTACCCCCCCCCCCCATGGACATACATTATCACACAAGTCAGCCCCCCTTACTGCATCAGTGTGTGACATCAAATATGGACAGTGTCATTTGAATAATGATGATCAAAAACCAGTACAGTTAACCAAATACTATTCTGGAGGGTTGTTTTTTTTTTAAATGCTCTTATTTGCCTGAAAATATATGCATTACTTAGGATATTTAACTCAAATTCTTCTGAATTTAAGAGCAGAAATGATTTTGATAACAAAAACATCATATACTTCTCAATATTAGGTTCCACATAAAAAATACAAGTCCTTTGAAGACTGTAAATGAGTTATTATTTAAAACTGACTATAGCAAGCCTACACTGAGGGAATAGATTTTGGTCAACAGCCAGCATCTTGATCAACACAGCAAATCAATTATTGCTATATCCACAGTGAAAAGAAATGCTTGACTTTCCATCAACACAGCAAATCAATTATAGCTATATCCACAGTGAAAAGAAATGCCTCAACACAACAAATCAATTATAGCTCTCTACACAGTGAAAAGTAATGCCTGACTTTCCATCAACACAACAAATCAATTATAGCTCTCTACACAGTGAAAAGTAATGCCTGACTTTCCATCAACACAACAAATCAATTATAGCTCTCTACACAGTGAAAAGTAATGCCTGACTTTCCATCAACACAACAAATCAATTATAGATCTCTACACAGTGAAAAGTAATGCCTGACTTTCCATCAACACAACAAATCAATTATAGCTCTCTACACAGTGAAAAGTAATGCCTGACTTTCCATCAACACAACAAATCACTGATAGCTATACAGTAGAATCTGTCTTGAAAGACCACCCATTCTGCCAGAAAATTATGGTCTTTCAAGACAGGTGGTCTCTCATAACAGGTTATAACACTATATAATCAATAAATCTGTGCATTCAGAATAAGGTCTCTCATGACAGGTGGTCTCACATGAGTGGTCTTTCAAGACAGGTTTTACTGTATCCACAGTGAAAAGTAATGCCTGACTTTCCATCAACACAGCAAATCACTGATAGCTATATACACACTGAAAAGTGATACCTGTCTAGCCATCAATTCATGGAATCAATTATAGCTATATCCACAGTGAAAACTGATATCTGTCTTGTCATCAAACCAGCAGTTACCGATAGCTATATCCACAGTGAAAAACAATACATATGTCTCTATCTACTAAACACAGGCTCAATAAAAGAGAAATAACATCTTTTGATTCTTTTTATTCTGTGTTATAACAAATCTTGAAAAAATGTTTCCTTGTTACAGTATTAAAATAAAAACAACTTCATATTGATAATATAACTGATATAAATACTTTCTTGTAATACTATGACAAAATAAATTTCATAACATACATTACATTAAATAACTAAATTTATCGGTAAATGGACATCTTATTGTAAAAGAAACTTATTGTTAAACATAAACAAGTGACAACCTAGTTTGGTCACATAAATGTATATTGAATGTATAATTAAGTAAATCTACTTTTCAATAGCTTGTTTTGAATGAAGTGCAGAATATCTATGAAAAACTTAAAGGCCATCTCTCTCTCTCACATGCACGCATGGATGTACACACACACACACACAAATACGTGACTTGAGCTGCTTTGTTATGAAAATGTAGTTATGCAAATTCGCAGTTTTCAATCAATTAAAGTATGTCTTTTTACTAAAATTAGCTTTCTACTTTGCTCAAATTAGTATATTTTTAAAAATTTAATTAAAATGCATGTCTATTGTCTAAATGCAATATAAACAAAATTTTGGGTGCCATAAGATGGCTACAAGTTTTTATATCACATATAGCTTTCTTTACACACACACACACACACACACACACACACACACACACACACACACACACACACACACACACACACACACACATACAATTCTCTGCTCCCAATGTGTTTCATATAAAATTCATCTTCAATCATATTTGATATAAAGACTTACATGTATCAATCTGGGATCTGTTACTATCACATATTAACCACAAAAAGGTGTCTAGATTTTCAAAATCTTCAAATCAAGGTTTTCAAACCAGTAGGCTACCCCTATAGTGCAAGGTCAGGCATGCTTAACAAACAATTTAAGTATATAATTGATCAATCAGACATTTTATACTCCTAGAGAGAATGACCTGGCTCAGTTAATCCTCTTTTAATACCATAATCCTGTAATTAAGAATGCTTCCATGTAGATACTGTAATTTCACAGGAAGTTATCTCCCTTACCTAAACTTTATTCTGTGTATGCCTAAGATGGAACTAGAGGTTAGAATTTTGTTTTATTTTTTCATCTGGTCAAGCAATTTTACACTTGCAGCAGATCAATGGTATTTTCAGACTGAAGCCTTATTGATATATTTTCATGCCAAGGAAAGATGCAAGCAGATATTCCAATATTCATGCAATTTTTTTTCACAAGAAAAATGTTGGCAACTTAAATTTGAAATGAATATTTCAAGTGTCTCAGTAAATTTCCACCAACTTTCACAAAGAAACAAATAAAATCTAGACAAAAGCTGATTGGTAAAATGCTAGTTGGTTTAATGACCAAGAATTGTTCCAATTCATTTTACCAAGGGGCAAGCCTCCAGTTTTTTGCACCTGTGTGTATCTCTATATAAATAGAGGCTAAATTAAAAGATAAAATAGTTTGGAAATTGGTGGTAAATGAGAGAGTTGGAAGCCTTTATTCACGTGCAAGTTAATGACATTTTACTTACAAAAAGTTGTTGTTGTTGAGCTTAACGCCATTTTTCAGCACATGATAGGCTATTCATGGC